ACTAATAAAATTTAATTTTAGCATATAAATTTATCCCTTGATATAAGAGAAAGTAACAGTTTTACTTATTGTTGTTCACCATATAATATTTAATTATTATTTTATTATATAATAAAAAAAAATATTGTTAAATAGTGTAGTAGAATTGTTATAAAATTATATGATTTTTTTTACAATATGGATTTAATATTTTTTTATGATTTGATAATATAAACAAATTTATACTTAACTTTGACAAATAAGACAAATAAATACTTTAGTAAGTATTTAATGTATATACTAAATAGAAATATATTTGGTATAATCAAATACCAAATATAATCATATAAGTCAAAGTGTACATTTTTATTTGGTATTTGATTTTTTTATTATTAAAATCTTTTTATTATACTTACCTTTTTAAAATAAAACAAATAAATAAATTAATTAAATAAATAAAATATTATAATACCAATATAGTAATGACATTTAATGCAGTTGACTTTTCTGGATAGTAAATGTAGTAAATAGAATATCCTTTTATATAGTATAATACGGAAATAGTAATACAATAAATGCTGTTGACTTTTTTGGCTACTTAATTTAGTAAATAGTACCCCCTTTAATATAAGTATAGATTGACATGAGGGATTGGGAATCTACTTGCCAACTTCTCCTAATTCATTAACTTTGGTAAACATATGGTGCATATCCCATAAAAATTATGTGCAATTCCATCAAAATAAATTTATATCCCATAAATAATTGTCAAATTTGTATGTTTTCAGAATTCAAATCAATTTTGGGATACTTATTTACAAACAGAATAATTAATCTACAAAAATACATGAATCCAATTAATCATAAATTTAAACATAAATTTCTAATAATTAATCTAAAAAGGTAAAAACTATTTCAATTAATCAAACATTTAAACATAGATTTGTAATGTATAAATACACAATGAATCTACTCAGTTTTATTCGTGATAAATATTCTAATCCGTGTTATTCAAACATTTATGTTTGTTTATAAAAAATTTTGGTTTTGTTTGGAATTTTTTATTTGGTTTGGTTAATTTTGAAAAATGTGGTATTGTTAGTTGTTAGTGGGTATATTAAAATAATATTTAAAATAAAATAATTAAAATTGATTTTATGTAAAAGTAGGAGAGAGAGATTTGAAATTATGGTTAGTTAAAATAATGTGAGTGGATAAATAGTGAATTAAGGTTGATGTGGTGTGTATGAATGATTGATTGATATTATTTAATTATATATATTGATAATTTTGATGATAGTATAGTTGAGTTAAATTTGAGTTAAAAAAAGTAATTGATTTAAAATGTTGGAAATTTTTTGAAAAATTTCATAAATAAGTTCTACTTTTCAATAAGGTATTAAAAAGTAAATCTAATAAGCAAGTTAAACTTTGGTCAAGGCCATGATTTAATTTTGAATAGATACTCGATCATATAATTTTATATTTCTTTACAAAAAATACACATTCAATTATATAATCTTATATTTCTTTATAAATATTTATTTATAAATTAAGAATCACGTACAATACACAAACATACAAATTAAGAGTCTATAATATATGATTGATTCAATATGTCATTTAGTATTAATATAATAGTTTAGTATTTATTAAAATTGATGTATAGTATTTATCAAAATTGATGTATTTGAAAATGCACGACCAAAATGATTTGTAAATCGATTTGTAAATTTATAATAATCTATCGCTAATTATAATCAACTTTTTTACACGGTATGTTAGCATTTCGGTTTAGTCTATATATGCTACCTAATAAAAAAAACCAGCGAATAAACAAATCAGTAATAACCTACTCATCATATTTATTCGTGTGCTAAATATATATATTGTAAAAATAATGTGTGCCCTTATATTAAGGTAACAAATTAGTAATATTTGAAAGATTTTTTTTTGTAATATATAAAAGATTCAGGTAACCATATATATTCATATGTTGATTTGAACTAATCTACACAATCCTATATTAAGATTCGAAATGAATCGTGTGCCCATAAAATTGACTAACTAAAATATTTTACAATATTTTCTATATATATTAAACAGTAGATATTGTCTATAATAACCTACTCATCATATTTATTCGGATACTGTGACCATTGTTTTTCAACCCAGACCGGACCGACGGGTCGATCTGGGACTCGGTCGACCCAGAGCCGAAACCGGTTTGGATGGACTATTTGGACCGGGATCCTATATATTTTTAGCAAATATATTAAGTTCAGTAGTTGTGCAATTTATTTTTTATAGTCATAGTTATTAAGCTCGGCCCGGAAATCCAATCGGACAGGTCTTCGGGTCCCCGGTTCAACCGTCTGGTCACCGGGTCAATTGCTGAACTGGATAATTAATTTTAAACTTTTTAAAATTATATATAATACTTTTGACATATAAATATATATAAAAGTAACAAAAATAAATATTTTGTACATAAAATTTGCACATCAAAGTGTTAATAATATTGTATTTCACAATAAATATTTACTATATCAATATATTTACATAATTTTTATTTTTCACATAAAAAAATATTTAAAAATTAAATATAAAAATATATAGGGACCGGGTCAACTGGGTTGACCCGGCCAGGTCAATAACTCGGGTCGACCGGGTCAAGACCAGAGTGCCGGGTTTTGACCGGGTCCCCACCGGGTAATAAGAACACACACCGGGTGGGAATGGGAGGACCAAACAAGGTTGGCCTAAACTGATACAAACCAAGACAGCTAAAACAGGCAACCGAAAGCTTAAACCGGTTAGCCCCTCCAAACCAAAATTACTAAAAACCAAGAAAACCCAAGCTAAAAAAAGAAGAAAAAACATCAATAAATACTTCCTTATAACTTTTTGGATAGATTCGAAAAAAAATCTTTATTATATAATTTTAATAATATATATATTTTAATTTTCATTGTATTTTATAATGTCATTATCATTCATTTATTATATAATTATATTTTGAATACAAAATTGTCTTTTAAAAGGACGGAAGTAATAAGTCTCGTGCATTGCATGAGTACTGTACTAGTATTGAACAAGTATCAAGACCAATTAAAGAAAGAAAAAATACAAACATATGCCAAATTAAAATTTTAAAATCACGAAAAAGAAATGCGAACGAAAATTAAAAATAAAAGTGGAGAAGACCCACACTCGCATGCCGACAGACTAAAAAAATAACACTATTTCCTGTTCATAATTTCATTACATTAATTTCATCAACTGAGTTTGGATAAGATTTTTGGTTAAGTAATTTAACATTTCCACTAATCTTTAGCATTAACAAATATTTCCAGATCTTAAATAAATTAAATGGTGTAAAGCCATTTTTTTTTTTTCTCAACTCTTTTCGTCCTTCCATCAAATCTAAAAAGCACAATCAATTCCATAAAAAGAAACTCCACAAATAAATAAATAAATAAATAAATAAGATAACCTTTCCATCTCCCAAGGCGAAAAAATCCATGGCGAGAAGGGCGGTGCTGATCGGCTGCAACTACCCCGGAACAAAGGCGGAGCTCAGAGACTGCATCAACGATGTCCGCCGAATGTATGCCTGCCTCGTCGACCGCTACGGCTTCTCCGAGGACGACATCACCGTCCTCATTGACAGCGACGATTCCTACACCCAGCCCACGGGCCACAACATCCGGGCCGCACTTGCGGATCTGGTCGATTCGTCCCGGCCCGGAGACTTCCTCTTCGTCGGCTACAGCGGCCACGTCACCCGACTCCCGGCGGAGACCCGCGAGGACGACGACACCGGCTACGACGAGTGCATTGTCCCCACGGACATGAATCTGATCACCGGTCAGCCACTTTTTTCCGTCTCGTCTTTATTTGTCGTCGTGTTATTTGATTTTGCTTTGAAGATCGGTCTTTGGAAATTAGTTACTTGATGTGAAGAAGAAACTTTGAATCGGTAGGTTGTACAATGGTGCTTCCAGATTGTACCCTTTGCTGGACCTATCTGAACTGGCTTATATACCCTTTCACAAGAACCAAAAACAGCTTTCAAATCAAAACTACCATCATTCAGCTCATTCTTTGTTCTTTCTTATTTTGAATGTCGTGAATCAAATCAGATGATGATTTCAGGGACCTTGTGGACAAAGTACCACAAGGATGCCAGATCACAATCGTGTCCGACTCCTGCCACAGTGGTGGCCTAATCAACGAGACCAAAGAGCAAATTGGCAAGAGCACCAAACAAAATGACGACGAGCAAGAAGAAGAAGAAGAAGAAGAAGAAGGATGATTTCGAGCCCGACTCAAGAAATTCCTTAAAGGAAAAGTCAGAGGATGCAATCTAGTCACGTGGTTTTCACTTAAACCACCACATAGCAATGCCATACAGAACATAATTGTCGAGTCGGATGGGAAGATTAGTAATCAAGAGCTTGTGCTGTAGTGATTATACTCGGCGCCTGGGGCTCTACTGTAGTGATTATCATGTTGATGCATCTTTTGTTTGCTAAACAACTGTTACAATTGTATTTGTGAGTGCAAAAAATTTTCTTGTTGGTTGTGGGGTTGGAAGGTTTGATGTATTGTTGTGATGTTATTGTGCTTGAATGACTTGTGTGTACAATAAAATTACAATGAATTACAAATATGCATTTGAATTTATATTTCCAAGAGATGAGTTTGAAGTGTACAGTTGTAATATTACATTTATGTTGATAATTATACACAACAAAAGGCAAAAATTAGAAGACAAGGGCTGGCAAGTTCAAAATGTGCCACAAAATAGGGCCTAAATAAATAGAATATGAACACTGCTGCTAATTAGGTTTTAAGCATCGCTGGACAACCTTAAATGGAAAAATGAAGCCTACAACTTTAAATGTGATCCACAGCTGCTTTGCCAAAAGTGAGTCAAGATTGCAATGTCGAGTCTTGAAGGAAGTCCATACCAGCATATCCATAGCAATAAATTGAAGAAAGAACTGTGGTTTCTTTCACTCGTCATCAACGTCTTGAACCCACGCCAGATCTGCAGGGAAAACAAAGAATGTGGTGGTGATCTTACGTATTGAAATTCGAAACACAGACTGCCAAAAGATTATCAATACAAAACAGGAGGTGAAGCAAAATAACCCACAGAATCCACAATATACAAAGATCTTGCTCTTGGTATGGAACCCTACCTACACGAAGAAGTTCTATCTGGCAGACTATCTTTAGCTTTATTTTAATATAATAGCTGCTATAGCCGCATCTGCTGAAATACTATACTAGGAATATGGTGCAAGTGCAAAATATGATGAATATTGTGGTAAGGGAAAAAAATTAACCACCAACTGACAATAAAATTTATTATTAGTTTAAACATACTCAGAAAAATAGAATTGTAAGTATATTGGGACTATAAATTTACAGATTTAACAAAGGCTGAGCACTAACATTTCCTATGAAATTTCGTCCAACTAATGATCTTGGTCCTCTTGGATATATAATTTGCAGTTATCACAGAAGAAACTAGCAAAACACATGCCCCACTCAAGGCCAATCACCTCCATCGTCAATAAAATAAACTAAAATGAAGCAATAACGATAATAATAACATCATCAACAAAATAAAAAATACGACAAGTAGGCAGCAACAAAGAAAGGGCATCGTAAGAATCAGTAAGTAATCCCTTATAGGCTATACAACTACAGAACAATAGAAAAAAGAGTGACAGAACTAGACCTTGAAGCACCGATTCTACAGCTGCATTTGGTATGAGCAGTCCAACAATTCTTTGGCTGTCCGCAGTGGTCTCTATGCGCACAACACGTAGCCTTTTATGGCTTTGTCGAAACTGTAAAAGATATGATTGTTCCCATCAATAAAAGCAAAAAGTTTTTGCAAGATCCAATGTAGAAAAGAATCACAAATAAAGCACGGGAAAGTTATGTCTTAAGTAACATACTGGTCACCAGACCAACTAAAATCAAACTTTTAACAAGTAGAGCACGCCAGAACAAAAATACATTGAGATTTGGAATTCCCATGCCCAGGAAATACAGGGAGTTTGTTTAAAGTAGCGTCTGTAGAGTGTAAGTACATATTTTTTATCACATCAGTCACATCATTGGCCTCTAGGAAGATTAGCTAAGAGCATTGAAAACCAACAAGGATTGGCTAATAGGGATTACTAGTAATAATAGCTTACGAGAAAAACTAATTGCAAAATATAAGCAATTGATACATAAGATTCTGAGCAAACAAGTGTATGTTTGAGTTATTCCAATCTTTCATCTGCTCTGCCATTCATCAATATTCACCCCTGAAGATATTTGAAGGAAAATAAAGTACCTGCTTCGAAAGTGCCTTTTCAATGGTTCCCCAGACAGGCAGAATTAGGCCGCCCAAAACATTCGCTTCCTGCAGCCTTCTGCCTGTAGTGCAGAAGTTTCCCAACTTACATTTGGGACCATGCATGCACTGCAAATGAAAGCACAAGCAAGCAAAATGGATACTCAGCAGCAATACCAGAATGAAGCCAATTCTTTTGTATAAAGGAACTTTGCACCTAATGAATTGGAGCCCGGAATGTTCAACTAACATTCGCTCCCCAGATTACAAAAAAAAAAAAATAATAATAATAATAATAAAAAAAAAAAAAAAATTGTATGGACTAAAATGTAGCATTAAAAATCAACCTCCTAAACTTATACAGCTTCGGTTCTCAATCACGAATTAGAGAAGTTCGATGATATTGGTCAATATCATTAAAATACTAGATGAGCATCACATGTAAAGACTAAAGGTAGTATCAGGCACGTCACCAAACTACTAAACTTAAAATGCAGAGTGTTTGACACAATTTGTTTATTTCTATCTGGTCTCCCTCGAAACAACCAGGCACTAATTTCTACCTTTCCCTTTTCCTTTCTATTCATTTGGCACTACTGGGCAAATGACGGCACTGGGCACAGAGTTTGCAGACAAATATGATTGAAATGATTCCATGCTCTTAAATAATATCACATTTTCATCAATAAATGGTAGTGGGCCAAATTCTAGACTGAGTAAAGGAATGGCCGATAATAGTGGAAGACACAAAGATTTTAGCCTGACCCATGAGAGCTTTGACATCTGACAAAAGGTGCACAAGAATAAACTCATAATAAGTTTGATCCTAACAAGGATTGACTTTTTAATTGATGCTAGCTTCATTTAACTCAGTACACTGAAATTGCACGTGTTCTCTTAAAAACAGTACAATTTTCTATGACAATGAAATCAATCTCATGCATTCATCAAATATTTAAAATCAAAATAATTGTTAATAGCACATAATGAAGCAAGTTAGAAATGATATTAACATTCAATGGTGGAAGATTTATTTACATGTATCTCCCTTTTGCTTTATCCATTTTCAAATGATTAGAGTATAAGGTACCCAACATTGGCAATGAAATAAATGCCCTCTCCATAAAAGCTACTATTACCTTAGCCCTTGACGCCATTCATCTTAGCATCATTTCGTGATTATGAGATTTAGATATGAAAATTTGGATCGGGTGACCTTTTGTGGAAGTTAATTCGAAAAACTAATTCGAACTGAAATTCAAGTAATCTCCGATGAGCGGTTCATATTAATATTTCATTTTGCTTTTGCGTTCTGATTCAAATTCAGAAACAATTGGACATCTGTACCTTACTCCTATGCCATAAAGAAGACGATTTCCAATTTAAAAGACACAGCTATTGTTGTTGGAAACCGGGATGATTTACTTTTGGAGAGTATATATCTAGCTGGAAATCGGCACAATAATAAATATAATGGCACATTTGGAGAGTACATAGCTAGTTGTAAACCATCCTTGGACAAAACCTAAATGGCAAGGAGCCAAATTGATTATCTAAAAAATTATATCCGCTTTTCAGCTTTGATTTTATTGCTCTTTTTAATAGTTTCATTGTATGGGTCATTAATTCAGTGCCACTATAATGTTGCACAAATTAAGTGAGGTGATTTCAAGCCTCAATTGGTATGATCAATTGCTTCAACGTTTTCCATTTTATGCAATGTTGTTTCTAGTTTCCAAAGTTGATAGCGATAGCGGGTCCAATTTATAATTCACCCAACGACTATATATAAAAGATCAGAAATTCCATGTGTGCTGACCGATAATTTCCTCATCCTGTAGTAAAATACTTTGATTTCATCTTTTACACATTTAAATTATGTTGGATATATTATTTAAAAAATTTCCATTTCATATACATCTTTGATCCATTCATAATCAATGTATGTTTCACATCAATTCCTTTAGGAAAGAAAAAAATAAAAACAAGGCTCTAATACATTTACCATTCATCAAAGATATGGAAAATATATGAAAGGAAAAGAACCTAGAGTAAATGGGAAAGAATATTTAGATTGGATATAAGA